TGACCTGTCGGCAACCCCTGTATCATTAGAATAAACTCCTTTCTATTCAAGCTGTTTGGAATTATCAGTCACTCGTATCCAAAGTACCTTAAAGATTAGACCATAGGATCAGCCCCAGGAAGTTGCCTCCCTCCACAAAAACTTCCATTTTCCTCCAACTCCAAGACTGGCCCAAAGAGACTAATTTAGAGACAAGCTAGAGTGTTATGTGGTTTGAAAATTCAGTTCTTTGGGCCATGCCAAAAGAGAGTTCGTTTCTGGCCTCTTCTCTCTGCAAAGCTGCTGATTGAGGCATGTGGGAAGCTTTATATCCAGGCTCTAGTAGCTTCCAGTCACTGAAAGATGTTCTATGGGTCATTCCTTTCGAAGAGCATATGGCTCTGAATGAGGGGATATGACCCTGCCATACCCTCATTTCTCCCATGCCCCACAGTGAGAGCATCTTGAGGACCAAAGTATGGTTTTAACCTTTATGAAGATATGGATTTTTCATACAGCATGGCCCTTAAATATCAGATAAAGCTGTTTTGTTTAAACTAAAGAAACAACAATCCAATGCTCTAATTTTGGTAGGTTTGAGTGATTTTCAAGGGTAATTTTGACACATCAGATTTCTGTCATACAGTGACTTTAGAATCTAACCCCTGTGATGTTAGTGAATTAAACTATGCTAATTATTAACCTAAACTGTACTTATTCAATTTCTACTAAGTATTTTCTTCAACCTTGTGTTCTCTACCGTATTTCCCCATTCTCCTTGTTACATTTTTAATTTTTTTCTTAAGTCCTATTTTAAAGATTTATGTAACGTGTGAGAAAAGAAATCTAAAGTATACATAGAATGTAACCCAAGATAACTCCAGATCAATTTTGTATACAAAATCATTCACAAGAGTTTTAGATAAGCATGTGCAGGTAACTGATCTAGTAATACAATGCTGCAGACAGTATTAATTTTTTCTTTCTAAAGAGATTAGTGGAGTGTTACTTTTATATACTACACTCAAGGAGCCACCCTTAAAACTAAGTGCCTCACAACTGGAGGGAATAAAATCTAACAAAGTAATAGAAAGAGTTTGGAAGAGGCTGCATCCCCCTAGAAGTAACAAGTAAGAAACTTCTACTAAAAGTGTTAAAATGACTTACATTTCATTTAATTCTATATCAAGAATTAATATAATTTATCAAGCTTAAAATCTGCATTCCAATGCCATTAAAAAAAAACCCTAAATGCCTTCTTCAAAATCTAGAGATATATTGGGTAAATACGTCAAGGGGTAATCTCTTCTTTTGCTATAGAACCTATATAATATAGATTACGCAGTGCTACAACCAATCCATTTCTGGGAAAGACATGAATAAATTCAAGAACAAAGGTGGGCAAAGAAAGTGATAAATACAAATTGAGAAAAGTTTTACCACTAAGAAACCCTCACTAAAATATGTAAATACTGTAGAATGAACTTTAGGAAGAAGAAAATTGAACTGAGAGGAAGGAGTGAGACGCACAAAGGAACAGTGAACAAAGAAACATATTAACCACTATTAACTACATCATAATAATAATACCTGATAATTGAGGGGTATGGAGACAAGGTGGTACCAACATGTACAATGGGAGGGATGGGAGTCAACATTAAAGCATTTGATCTTAGAAGTCCTTGTGTTGTTTGGGAGGAGAATTAAGTGTCTAATTGTAACTTGATTTTGAACAGACATGTTCTCTGACCACAGTCAAACTGAGAAATACTTATGTTAGTAAAGAAGACAGAAAACCTAGCATACAACTCAGAAAATGAAAATTTAGAAAAAGTATAAAACAGTAAATAAAAAGAGCGCAAGGAAGGAAGTATATTTAGGAGCCAAAAAGGATAAATCAGAAAATAAAGACACAAAAAAAAGATTAAGAAAATCAAAAGCTTGTTCTTTCAAAAGACACACTTCTGGGAAGAGTGAACAAGAGGAAAAAGAGAAAAGATAAGAGTAAAAAAAAAATAGACAAAGCAAAGGCTTTAAAAATAAAAATACAGTGAATACCATTAACAAAAATTTTGAAAACTTATACAAAATAGATAATTTCCTAGGAAAATTAAACTTACCAAAACTGGCTCATGAAAAAACAAATCAGATAGAACTTGGTGACAGATAAGAGATGGAGAATGAAAGAGATGCTGTGACGACTTTTAAGTCTCTAACTTGTTGAGCTTATGAATATGAGTTCCATTCACCAAGAAGGGGAAAGCTAGAGGAGGAGCATGGGGCACGCTGGGTGTCATTTGTGTTTTTTGTGTAAGTGTATATACGTAGGGAGGCGTTGGTACTGGTGGTAGGGGTGGTGTGCAGAAGTCATAACTTTAATGAATATGTTTGGATATGCTGAGATGAAAGTTCCTTTAGGATATAAATGGAGATGTTAAGTATCCAGTTGGATCTATGATCAGGAATTCAGGAGAGATGTGGGTTGAAGACCCTTTTTTGGGAGTTACCTGTATTTAAATAATAATTAAAGCCACAGATATGGCTGAAAAGCTCTAGGGAGACAGAGCATGGTTCCTGGTACCAGCAATCTCAAGCATTACCTGGGAACTTGACAGAAATGCAAATTCTCAGACCCCAACCTGAACTTCTTGAATCAGAAACCCTGAGCATGGGGCCCTGCAATCTGTATATTAACAAGGCCTCCCGTGATTCCGATACAGACTAAGATGTGAAAACCACTGATGGAAAGTGAGATGTCAAGAGGGCTTCTTAGGGCCCTGCCTTGAGAATTCCAACATTTAACAGAGGAGGAGAAACCTGCAAAGATGACTAGGAGCAACATGTATAGGGGAGTAAGAAAATGAGGAGACTGTTTCAAGAGGTAGGGTGGCAAATACTACTAGCATTTATGACAGCTTCAGAAGGGACTGGAAAGGGCTGAGAAGTGAGCAGGAATTGAGAAAACAGGGGTAGTAAGTTTGGACAGTTCTGAGCAGTTTGTTCAGAAAGTGGAGACAGACAGGGCAGAGATGGAAGTGGGTGAGAGTAACGGGAAGGATGAACTGCCAGGGGAGGAATCTGGTTGAGAGGGAGAGAGTGACTGTACAAGAGAGATGGGGAGCTGACAGCAATGGCTTCTGGAGGGGGCAACGCCACTGTCTGCCTCCACAGGAGATTTTATTACTTAGAGCATTTAGGATTGCTATCCATGGTGATAAGAAAAAAGCAGGCCAACTTTTTGTTGGTTTTATTATTCCTATTTAAATTTCTAGAGATATCACACCCCTCACTGCCTGCACTGGGGTGGCCGGCTCCCACTGTCCTGTCTGTGGTGTCACTGGATGATACTATGAGGTTTCTGAAAGGGGAGGAGAGGATGGGATCCAAAACATAGGTGGAAGGACTGCCCTCTGCTAGGAGGGACAGAGCACCTTTCCAACCACAAGCAAGGAGGTACATATGAGGGACACAGACGTGGCGAGTGTGAAGTCTGAGAGCAGGAAGCCATCAAACGTTTTCGATTTCCCCCACAGGGTCACGTGCAAGTCCATCCCTACTGTGAGATCTAAGCCGCATTCTCTTGGCCTGCTGCAATTAAATGTTCAAATTCATGCTCGCTAAGCAATCTTGGATTTGTGATCTGGCTCCCCACGGAGGCCTGCCCCTGGGGCGGGAATGTGCTGACTATACAGACTTGAGTATGTCTCAGTGGTTTCTCACAGTAAACTGATAAACTGGTTTTTGAACACGATTTGGTTTCTAGGTAGCCTGACTACAGGTAATAGACAGACCATGATCCTTCTTATAGTTATGTTCCTTAAGGAGTTATTTTCTCAGGACCTGACTGCTTTTGCATAAAGTGACTACAGTAAATCTCTGGGCCTACAGAGGCATGGGCCAGATCCATAATTAAGCAGCCAATCAGAGGGCTCCCCTTCTCTGTCATGCCTTGCTCAGCAAAAGCTGGCTTTCCATTAGCTGTCACTGGCCTGATTTCTACCTCTTTTCTCTCAATTCATTTCTACACCCACCTGCTCATTAAGATATTTTGAACTGGCTGTCACTGCATTGACCTACTAGTTTTTGTAGGCAGGAATTTCTAAGAATAATGCAGGAACTAAAACAAGGACTTCAGTGAAATCTACTGGTATACCACCATTATTCACTTACTTATTCACTCAACAAATATTTACAGACTATATATCCTGTGCAAGGCTTGATATTAGAGCCGTGGGGGATCCAAAGTCCTCAGGGATTTATAAACCAGAAATAAAAGCAATTAGTTCCACAAAAAACATGCTGTGGAAATGGACTCTGACTGCAGGGGGGGATTACAAATAAAGAAAAAATTCCTTATAGTAAAAGTGATTAAAGCAGAAACAGGCTATCAAAGGAAATCCTGGACTCTGAGTAACTTTAAAAATATGATGACTTAGAAACAGCCTTGCCTAGAGGCAAAGGTTCCAGCAACCCTTCTGGAATTAAGCATAAAAGTGACTCAGGACTTTCTGATACATAAAGAACAAGCCAATCTCTCTGCAGAAGGAATAAGTCGGGCTGGGAAATAATTTAAATGTTTACTTAGGGTTCTTACCCCCAAATTCTCAGGTCCTCCAGTCCCTGGGTTGCCGTGCAGTAACTGATCCTGTCCCTCGTTCTTATCTTTGCTGCCCTTGCTCCTCTCCATCACACTTCATGCTCAGGCAGAAATAAGATGCAGTTTTTCCATAACCTGGAATTTTCTGCCATTGAATCATCTCAGCTAGGCACAGCCACACTAGCCACAGTATCACCCAAGCTCTGTGTAAATGATTTGAGGACCTTGGATATTTTAAAAGTGCCTACCACACAGCAGATGCTCAATTAAGATTCATTTCCTCCTTTCTTTTCTTCTTTTCTCTCCCCTGGTGAGGAAGGGAGGGAAAAAAAACAGGAACCAACAAAAAGATGGATCTCCCATAAGACAGAATTCTTTGGTGCAAAAATAATGAAAAGGTTTAAACTGCTTCTCCTTTGCTTACCTTGTGTCTGCGGCATGTATGGAGACAGGAGCTTTGACCTTTTCTTTTCATATCCCTTCTGTGTGATGTCCCCTAAAATAGCAAGAACAGAAATAGGTTATGCATTATTCTTACTCTGTGGTTGTTCACTGTAAAAATAAAATTAATTAGAGTGTTACAGAATTACCACATAGACAGTAAGGAAAAAATGTATAGTTCTTTGCCAAGGATTTTGCTATGTGTGATTTCCCACAGGCTTGGAGCTGACATCTTGTGGAAAATTGAAGGGCTTGTCCCTGTACCAGTCTAGCAGAGCAATATGCCACATTCCATGTCAGAGATTCCCGAGTTCCTAGGCACCCCTCGTTTCCGTGGTATTTAAGATATACCACAATGGAATGCAGCAAGGCTGGGAGACAAATGATCTTCTCTCCAAGGTTTGTTTGACCAAATGAATGCAATTGACTTGGGAGGTATTCAATTACACTGCTGTATAGAACCACACCAAATCAAAAGTCTGGTTAAGGGGCGAAGTCAAGGTTCAGGCACTGGGATGGGACATGTGGAAGGCCCTCCTGCACCCTAGTACCTATACTGGAACCTGGAGCCAGAATTCCCACATCCTCTTCCCTTGGGTCACTGGTTTGTATTATTTAAATACATGCTTGTCTTTTTCAGAAGATTAAGTGAAAAAGTATACATGAAGCACACAAAAAGTACATATATAAGAAATGCAATAAGGGTAAACTGATTGATAGAGAAGAAACTGTGTGGCTAAGAAGTGTCAAGAAATATACATGGTCCTAAAGAAAGGGTAGCAAATGGATGGGTAGAGGGCAGGGATAAAAGGCGACAGGAAATGCAGAACAAAAAACATTCAAGGGACAGTAATTCAAAGCTGGAGGAATAAATATATGTGGTGAGGTGACATGACAGAGCACTGTTTCCCCCCAAATAATTTTTTTTTTATTGAGAGAAAATTTTATTTCAGTCAAAGTGTAGTATAAAAAGTAATTTATATATTCAAATTTACATTTACTTATTATATAGTCAAGTTCGGGGGTGAGGGAGCCTATTTTGATGGATATAGAGATTTGAAATCATGGGTGATGAATGACAAATTTGACATCAAGGGTGATGAAGGTCAGGTGTGTTGGTCTCAGTGTCTGACTGATGGAACAGATGGTGGAGAGGCAGCAGGGCTCAGTGAAGGGCTTAAGCAGGGGAGTTAACACTCACAGGTCACAGAGGGCAGCAAGTTCCCTCTTCCTGAGGAGAATGGGACCAACTGTAGAAGCCAGAGAGACTAGCCCTTGCCCCAGTGCTACTATGGTGACCTGGGCAAGTCAGCAGTAGCTTAACTTAAAGACAGAGGTAGAAAGGATTAAAAAGAAGTGAGAGGATTAAGAGAGACATTTGGGAGAAAGACTGGACAGGGTTTGGTGACTAGTTCAGTGCAGCATGGAGAAGGTTTCTGGGTGAGCAACCAGGCAGATGGTCACAATATTCTTTGACAGAGAAATACAGCAAGTGCATATTTGGTGGGTTGAAGAAGACAAGAGTTAAGCTTAGGAAAGACCTATGAGACACACAAGAGGAGATGTCCAATCAACAGTTGGATGGATACATGGATCTAGAACTTCAGAAAGAGAGAGGTTTGGACTTGTCAGGACATATTTGAAAAATAAATTGATACAATCTCTGGAGTCATTTGGCAATTCCTATCAAAATTTTGATTCAGCAACTGTACTTCTAGGAATTCGCTCAATGCTAAAATACACAGAGGTACACAAAAATAAATTTAAGAATATCCCCTGACCTATTCTTTGTAATAAAAAAAACTAGGACTCTAGATGCTTACATTATAGACTATCTGTATCAGTGGCTTTCAACTAGGAGTGATTTGCCCCTCAGTAGGCAACTGACAATGTCTGGAGACATTTTTATCACAACTGGAGTAAGTGGTGCTACTGGCATCCAAGTAATAGTGGTCAGGATGCTGCTAAACATCCTGCAATGCACAGGACAGGCCCAGGATAAAGAATTATCAAGTCCACCTACACTGCTGGTGGGAATGCAGTTTGGTGCAGCCACTGTGGAAAACAGTATGGAGATTCCTCAAAAGACTAGGAATAGACTTACCATATGACCCAGGAATCCTGCTCCTGGGCATATGTCCAGAAGGAACCCTACTTCAAAATGACACCCACACCCCAATGTTCATAGCAGCACTATTTACAATAGCCAAGACATGGACACAGCGTAAATGTCCATCAACAGGTGACTGGATAAAGAAGATGTGGTATATTTATACAATGAAATACTATTCAGCCATAAAAACCAACAACATAACGCCATTTGCAGCAACATGGATGTTAATGGAGAATGTCATTCTAAGTGAAGTAAGCCAGAAAGAGAAAGAAAAATACCATATGAGATCGCTCATATGCGGATCTAAAAACAAAACAAAACAAAACATAAATACAAAACAGAAACAGACTCATAGACATAGAATACAAACTTGTGGTTGCCAGGGGATGGGGGGTGGGAAGGAACAGACTTGGATTTCAAAATGTAGAATAGATAAATAAGATTATACTGTATAGCACAGGGAAATATATACAAGATCTTGTGGTAGCTCACAGCAAAAAAAAAAAAATGTGACAATGAATATACGTATGTTCATGTATAACTGAAAAATTGTGCTCTACACTGGAATTTGACACAACATTGTAAAATGACTATAACCAATAAAAAATGTAAAAAAAAAAAAAAAAAGAATTATCAGGTCCAAAATGTCAACAATGTTAAGGACAAGAAACCCTGACCCACATCATAATGTGCAGGTATTCCAAATGTACTGGCAAAGGAAGCTGTGTACAATATATAAAGGTAGAAGGCAAGCTGCAGAACAGCAAGTATAAATAGGGTCTAATGTTGTTTAAAAAATAGTTATAGATATGGTTGCATACATAAAATAGTCTAGAAGGAGATAAACAGATAAAGATATAAACATAGATATACACTAAATGTTTATCCTTGGGGGACCGAGATTATGGAGGATTTTCATCTGTTATACTTTAACAGAGTCTGATTGAAAAAAAAGCCTGAATGACTTGTATAATAATAACAATAAAGATTTTTTTCATTAAGAATTAATGATTCTGTAGATGTGTATTTGTTAACGTGGTAAGATGCTTGCAGTATATATAACAGAAAAAACGCAAGATACTAAACAGTTTACACACTATATTCAATTTCTGAAATAATAATATTTTTATATATACATGTACACATAGAAAAAATATGGATTTTTATATACCGAAATGTTAACAATGGTTACCTGTAGCTTGCAAGATTATGGACTGGTTTTAGCTTTTTTCATTTTTCTTTGCCTATATTTTCTAATTTTTCTCCTATGAGCATCCATTATTTGAAGAAACAATAAACATTTTTAAACTGCAATGATGACTACTTATTAGACTGTACAAATTTAATTACAATGGCCCTTCATCTGTATTTTTCTAGTGGAACAAGAGAAACCCATGGTGTATTTCTGGAAATGAAACCCAAGCCTTGTCAAATTAGCAAACTGAAGAGTTTTGGTAATCTCTAACAATGCGTAAAACTAACAAATGCAGGAATCTACCACAGAAACCTTCCTTAGAAACAGGAAATCATGTCTTCTATTGCAAAAGAAACAATGAGGCATTCTCCTGTTCCACTCCCCACTCACAAGCTCCCCTGCCTCCAGTACACACACACCCCACTCCCTGAAGGGCACAAAGACCCCTTCCGCTGGCTCAGAACACATCTGATAAAGTCAAAAGCTTTAAAAGCTTTCTTCAGGGCTTAGAGTGCCAACGATTCACTGTCAGTAAATGACCGCGGGACAAACTGCTAGACTTGGTATCTTGGACATTAACCAACTACTAACCATCTCAGGTTTCGAAAAAGGTCAATCAACAGAGTCTAATTCAGCCATGCCAATTAGCATTTGTTCCATAAACGAGCAAAGACATTGAAGATACCCAGGAGAAGACGCCTGGTAAAGAGAAGTGAGGACTATGGTGAGAGAACTTACAAATGACCCCTACTTTTTCTCTGAGTACAAGACCCTGCTCAAAAGCCATCTCCTCTGTGACATTTGCCACACTCGTTAGTCACTTCCTCCTGATGCCCCTACAACTCTGCACACACTTCTATGACAGCACTGAGCACATCACTGGTATTTTAATTATTTGTTTACCCATCTGTGTCCCTACTAGACTGTGCACTTGAGGGCAGGGATTGTGTCTTGTTCATCTCTGTAGCCTGCCTACAGCCTGGCACAATAGACACTTGTTGAACGAGTGACTGAATGAACTGATAAAACAGAGGCAATAAGAGAACAATAAATCAAAGGCAAGCATACTTGGTTTGAAAACTGGAAATGGGAGAAAAGGCGGTCTTTACATTGACAGGAGCTGAAAGGTCCAGGGAGGAAAATTTAGTGAACCAAAAGTTTATTGAAACTTGACAACTAGACCTCAAAGGTGGCCGGAAGCAAGAGAGGAATAGCACATAAACAGGGCGCACTAAAAGCAGAAGGAAGGTCCCCGGATAGCGATGAATCCCATAGCCAGAGCAAGAGCAGACGGAAGGAATTCAGTTGCTCCACATAACAGAATTTGTTATCCCGATTTCTGTCACTGCCTCCTCCTGCCTGTGCGCTTGTCATTCTCACCACTGGTAGTTAAGCACCTTTTGCCACACTAAAGCAATGCTTCCTAAATTTGCCCAATTTTTAAGAATCACCCGAGGAACTTGTGCAAATTCCCAGGCCCCTCCCATGAAGATTGTGATTCACTAAGTCTGGATTAAGACCCAGATACCTGCATTTCTAACAAATGCCTTCCAGTGAGTCTTAAAAATCAGGCAAGTTTGCAAATTGCTGCACTAAAGAATCATGTCTGGAGTGTGCTGGGCGGTTCTGCTGACTTAACGTGAGGAGGTGCGCTCAAGGAGAAGGTTGTCTTGGCGATCCGGCCTCCCGGGAGAGCACGGAGCCTCGGGAGCTCACAGACACTAAGTCACACCACAGGCATTCTTAC